ACGATCTTTGAACAACGCCAAAGTGACTTTGAGAGTGTTCACCTAATAACTAGGATCAAATGGGGGTTATAAACCTGTGTGAGGAATTAAATTTAGGGTTTTCATTACGAACTGACATCAGTTATAATGCCAAAACTCTATTTAGCTAAAGGGATCGGTGAATTTCGTTCCAAAATCGGAGACCTGTTATCTTATACCTGATTGAATCGTCCATAAATTATAGTCTCGCAGACGTATAAAATGTGATGGTTTATAAAACTGGAAACTGGATATTCAGTATCATTTATGTTATTAAATGAAGTACTAAGAGCTAATAGTATGAACTGTCAAATCATAAAAAATAACACATTAGGAATGGGTTAGGTAATATAGAACATTATGGTTTGCTTGTAGTAATAAATTCATCAAAAAATATTATCGAAAACAGTCAGTCATTCAGTCAGTAACAACGTAAAACTTCGTACGTACGTACATCAGTTTGAGTTGCCATATCACATTAGTACAGAGATACTTTGAATGTATTTCTTTGTGATATTTAATAGATTATATGCATAAGTGATTATTGTAAAAGAATTCTCAAGTTTTAGCGAAATATTTTAGAAATGAGAATAAACAATTCTAATCGATTTATTAATTATGGGTATCATCAATGTCAAGGTTGGATGTGATAGTTTCAAATAAATTGAGTATTAGATAGAAAGTTAACAAAAATATATATTTTTTGTTATATCCTAATGAGTAGAAAAGTTGTATTTTTGACATTTCGTAACTTGATGTAATCCACTTCTTCAGAGTAAATATGTAGCCGAATTCACAGTTATTTACTTTGAAATGACTTACATTAGGTTATGAAGCGTCAGAAATACAATTTTTCTGCTCGCAAAAAAATATGTTTATTATTGTGATCTATTGGCCAAACGATAGCAGCAACAACCTACTGTGGGAGAGAAAAAACCAGATTCCATGAAGGAAGAAGGAAGAAATCAGGAAGAAGTGCTGGAAGTGGATAGAACACAGATTTAGGAAAGCACCCAATTGCGTCACAAGGTAAGCCGTCACATGAAATCCTCAAGGCCGAAGAAGAAGAGATGGACCAAAGAACACATTACGTCGAGAAATGGAGACATACATGAGAAAAATGAACAACAATCGGACAGAACTGGAAAGGAAGACCCAGGACAGAGTGAGTTGGAGAATGTTGGTCGGCGGCCTATACTCCATTGTGATTAACAAGCGTAAGTAACCAAATAAAGTAATACTTTACTTACCTGTCAATTTTATAAATTTACAAATGTTATTTATCTACTTATTTAGTTACTTACTTACTCCGAATGGAGCAAAGGCCGCCAACCAGCATTCTCCAACTCACTCTGTCCTGGGCCTTCTTTTCCAGTTCTATCCAATTGTTGTTCATTCTTCCCATGTCTGACTCCATTTCCCAAAGTAATGTGTTCTTTGGTCTTCCTCTTTTCCTTTAGCCTTGAGAATTCCAAGTGAGGGCTTGCCTTGTGACTGAGTTGGGTGCTTTCCACTTCCAGTGCTTATTCCTGATTTCTTTCTCCACTGAGATCTTATTTGTTCCCTCACACAACAGGTTGTTGCTGATAGTGTGTGGTAAACGGATTCGAAGTATTTTACGTAGACAACTGTTAATAAACACTCTCATCTCCTGGATGATGGCTTTCATAATTGTCTAAGTTTCCGTCCCATACAATAGAAGTGTTTTGACGTTTGTATTGAAATCTCTGAATTTGGTGTTGGTTGACAGACAATTGTTCTGGGTTCCAGATGTTCTTCAATTGTAAATCTATTGCCCTTGTTTTGTCGATCCTCGCCTTCACATTATTATTTTACTTAACAATCCCAAATTCTTATCCTATATTTTAAAATATCTTCTACTTTAAACTTAACTCTTTCTTTTAATCCATAAGTTAAAAAAATTGATATCTATGCATTTGTGTGTGTGAGTGGAACCAGATCAAAAAGTAATAACGTTCAATTAATGTGAATTCATTGATTCAATAAATTCAAGATAAAACTTAATATGAAACTACTAATTTTACTTATTGATTTTAAATAAATAGTATTTAATGATTTTATTATTATTATTATTCATTTGATATTGTTTTACTTGAATCTTCCCATTGATGTTTTAGGACTGAAATTGATCAGTCTCTTATTGGCATATGTGCATACTGTGCATATGACTCGATATTGCCTTAATTTACAAGCATTTTTAAGCAAAGATGGATAGTGGCTAGTAGTGGAATCCAGGACGCGCGTTTCGTCCTATTTAGGACTCGTCAGCTGGATGTACCTGCACCTCAGAGTTGATGTTCACTCTGGGACTCGAACTCAGTACCGTTCGCTTCAAACGCCACCGCGTTATCCACTTAGCTACTGAGTCCTGATAGCCACTTGCTTGTGCAATGGGGTGAAGTTTAATTCATTTGATAGTGTTTTACTTGAATCTTCCCATTGATGTTTTAGGACTGAAATTGATCAGTCTCTTATTAGTATTAGTATTATTATTATTATTAATGGCTAGGTAAGGCATTATAGAAATTTTATACTTTTATTTGCGTGCATGGATTTTAATTACATCTCGTTCTACCAGAGGAGATACAAGGATTAAGATATGAGTGAAGGGGATGGTTAGTATCTGATAAGATAACACCTGCCAGGAGCTTGCATGACTTTAAATATCTATCCACCACCATATTAATTATGACCTCGAAAGGTTCACCACACACCTTACTAACTACCTTCAGTACTCTCTGCAATACAGCAAAGTTTTTTAACAAAAGCTCGGGAAAGAATGATGGAGAAAAATAAAGAACAATAGGTAATATACAAGAATTGACAAATTGTAAGAGTAAATGACGAGTAATCCCAAGAGTATGCAGTCGCTTTTTGTAGTAAGTCAGACGGAAAACTTTTTTCGATAAGAATAAAACATGAGAAGACCAAAAGAGATCAAAGGAAAAAGTAACACCAAGATAATTGAACTTTGACACTGTGTTTACCAAATAACCTCCGATGGAACAAGCTTTATGGGATCCCGAAGTGGTGGTTAGGTGCCGTTCATGACTTATGCTAAAGTTAACAGTTTGATATTTAGACGTATTAAGTATGAGACCATTAACAACAGACCAACAATCAATACGAGACAAAAACTCATTCATTTCTATGGGATGTAAAGAGATAGAGATAGACATACATACAGTGAGATCATCTGCATATTTCACAAAAGTGTTTTTTGTGAAAGATGGCAGATCATGCGGAAAAAAGGAAGAGTTGAAAGAATGACTCCTTATGGTACACCTTTCTTCATGAGACAGTTAATGAGATAGTGAATAACAATGATAAAACATTGTCAATATATTATAAAAGAATTCATAATAATGTATCAATAATGGGAATATTATAATATAATCTTTATATTTGAGTCACGATTAATCGATTATTATTTTTTTATTTTTTTGTTTTTTCTTTTCTCATTCTATAGAAATGGTTTATTAGGTGTGAGAATACAATGATATTAGTAACTATGTAATCATCAGTCATATAGACAAATATAAATTCAATTAAAGTATCTATGAGTGAAATGAATGTCAAATTATTAAATGTTTCTCTATTAATCGTACATAATAAGACATACATAGTCATAGTGTACACGATGTATATAGTTGGGTGGCACGTACATCATTTGTCTGTCTCTCTCTCTCTCTCTAATAATTGACAAATATATGTATGAATAATACTGATAGTAAGTATAATATAAAGTGGTCATAGAAAAGTTAGATAAATATAGGTTTCAAAATGATTGAATATAAGAAAGGTTAAGATGGCTGGGACACGTGTTACGTATGCCCAACCACCGACTGCCTCGACGTGTGATGTTCAATGGTGTAGTAGGAGTAGGTTGGAAGAAAGTTACGGGACGCCAGAACAAAATATGGCACAAATCCATGAAGCGATTGACAAGTGGACTGAGTCATGTTGGTAGGTGTAGACTACGTGGTTGGGATCTGCGAGATGATAGCAACCGATGGTTAGAGACCTTGAAATACATGGTTCAAAGTCGTTTCTAATGGTACAGGTTCAGGTGTGTTCTCCCAAATTCGAATCTTCTGAATTCTTTATGTCCTTTTTTTCCTCTTTCCAAATTTATTTCACTGGATTATACTCCTTGAATAACATCTTTAAACCCAAATGTTTCCTATTAGTGCTTATACTCTTACTACCTCTACCACTATGGGATTTGAATGGACAAGTGCATCTCTGTGCTAATGTGGTGTGGAAACTCGAATTGATGTACGTACGTACGAAGTTCTACTTTGTTACTGACTGACTGACTGACTGTATTCATGACATGTAAGACTAAAGGTCCTCAGTTCGATTACCACATGAGGGATCACAAATGTAACACAGTTGAAGAGTTGAGTATTAAGACTAAATTATCGTTCAGTACTTCCAAATTTTTGATGATAGTAAAACATTGATTGGTATATGATTTTGAAGAAACTTAGCAGTCTTCACAACCCTATCTATATTGATAATAAAATTAATTTGTTAAAATATCTTATTTAACATGTGTATGTTTCAGTCAGTTAGGCACATATATGCATCGGTCCAAGTTGCCATACCTCATTAGCACAACAAGATGAACACCAAATTCCTAGAGAGTGTATGCACCTAAACCATTGTGATCGATTCTGAACCATATCACCCATAGTTTCCAACCATTGCTTACGATGGTCACGCTGACCGCAACCTAGTAGTCTGTATCTACCAATATGACTAAGACTAGAAGTTAATAACTTCAATCAATGATATCACGTTTTGTTTTGACCGCCCCAACTTTCTTCCAACCATTCCCAACACTAGTCAGTATTATGCGTCATGGTAATTGGTATGTCTGTATACTGTGAAGAGATTTATAGATGAAAAAGTAAACTTCAGTCATGTTACATATTAAAATAAAGTAAACAATTTACCTGATTTTCATTCATTCTTCAATGAACATCAACAACTGATGAAGACCAGAATCATCTTAAATAGATACTCTTCAAAATACAAACTAAGTTGATAAATGATAAGTCTTATCGATTGAACGCTATATTAGTTTCCTAAGCTATTCTGGTGCCCCGAAAGCTAGAACTGCACAGCGACTTGAACACCAGAGAGAAGAAGCAAGTATGGAGGAAAATACTTTACTCCGAGGTTCCTTTTATTACAGAAAATATAGGGTTTTTATAATATATCTAAATGTCCTTGAGTTGCTGGAATATTCTGGAATGCTACTAAACATAGTAGCACTGTAGTAGCCAACCAATCAGAGCTTCCGCATGTGACGTTTCACTACCTTGATATTTCTGGCCAAGACTCCAAGTGAACGCTGATTTGACGAAACACTTCTTGGTGTTTCTTGATGCTTGCTTGTCTTTTGCAAGCAATTTCTGGATCACCCCAACAATAAATAACTTAATTATCAATCTTACAAACAAATTAAACAGTTTTTTATGATTCAGCTGATACTAGCTAGTGCAATTGAAGAGTTTTGGCTATATGTATTACAAGAGTTTTATGTTAAGATTTCATTCTCATTTACAGCTGTAAACAAGTTGACAACCGCCCCCCCTCCCGAACACTATGAAGTAACTGCTTCTTCTTGGTTATACTCTAGTCAACGCATAGAGTTTATATGGGCAGTGAATATATTTTCTCATTTAAAGATCCCCATCATATTAAAAGATTAATATTTGAAAGAAGAATATTCTTTTCGATAAATTCTTTTCAGGTTCTAAAACAGAAGCCATCCGAATGAAGAAACCGGAGCCATGTGTAGATAATAAATATCTTTAACCACTCCTCCAACCCTGGCCAATTAATTAATAATAAATATTAACTATTGAATGACCTAATATGACTATTATACTTACAACCTTTCGTAGTCAAACATAATTGTCTCTGTTATCATTATTCACAAATCTTTGTATTATTATTATTATTATTATTATTATTATTATTATTATTATTATTATTATTATTATTATTATTGGTTAGACGTCGTTACTAATCTCCCCAATACATAATTCATAAATCTAATTTAAACTTCTAATATTTCAATCATAAAATTTTTTAATAGTTGAGATCATGAGTCAATTGAAGTTAGACCAACATGAAAAACCTGTAAACACTGGATGACCATTTCATCCCAATATAGAACTCCTCAGTCGTGCGTATATCTACAATTTTTATCGGACTCGCTGAGTGATCTAGAGGTTAAACGTTTGCGTATGAGACCGATAGGTCTTGAGTTCGAATCTTGTAAGGTGAGATCATAAATGTACACTGCTGAAAAGTTCTATAATAGAATGAAACAACCATTCAATACTTTCAGGTTTTCTATACTGATCTAGCAGCTTCAATTGATTCATGATTTCAACTATTAAAAAAATATCCACACAAAGAAACCTCCCCCCCCCCATTCTGATAAAAAATTTTAATAATATTTAATAAAATCAATGTTATAACATAGAAAAATTAAATATTCGTGACTTCACCTTATCAGTTGAAAACAATTATAATATTTGATGATTATGAATGATGATGATGATGATAATAAATCAATAAAAATAAATCAATAAATAGAATCACAATTTAACTCATTTTTATCTTAGTGATTAATTATGTTAAATATTGATCAATATTAGAAATGATAACATCCATATCAAAATATTTGATTAGAATACATAAAATTACAAAAAAAGGACCTGGGGAGGGGAAAGGAGAATAAAGTTTAATAATGAATAGAGTAACATTGTAAACATGAATAAAGAAAAAATATTTAACTCTTTCTGGTTAATAACTAGTAATAAGATGATAAAAATGATTTATTGTTCATAGATTGGTTGAAGTTAGACATTAACACCATTGGATGCCGGCCAGCTCAGTGGTCTAGTTGGTTAAACGCCTGGCGCGAGACTGATAAGTCCTTGGTTCGAATCTCGCCAAGGGGTGTGGGATCGTGGATGTGCACTGCTGAGGAGTCCCATACTAGGACGAAACGGTCAGCTGTCCAGTACTTCCAGGTTTTCCATTGTGGTCTAGCTTCAATTGACTGATAACTTCAACCAGTGAAATTTATTGTTCAATTAGATGATTTGAATGAAGTTATCTGAGTTGAATAGTTTGATTGTGGAGCTTTCAACATTTGAAGTTTGTATTGACGGTGTTGTTTAGATGAACGATGAAAATTTCACAATCAAACTATTCAACTTAGACAATAAAATTTCATCAATATCTAATAGTAGTTAAAAATAATAAATAGGGATTTGTAACCTAATCAAGTTTCTATTCCTTATTCTACCAAATATTAATTGGGTATTTAATAGTAAACTGTTTTAAGATTAATAATATGAAGTTTTGTTAGGATTCCTTGACTTACGAAATCAATCTATTTAGCGGTCCTATTTTAGTTAGTGAGTTCATATTCTATTGGATATAAACATAATGTTATTTCAATAGTTGAGATCATGAGTCAGTTGTTGCTAGACCATCATGAAAAACTTGGAAGCACTGGACGGTTGTTTCGTCCTATTTGGGACTCGTCAGCTGGATGCACCCGCATCTTAGAGATACAAGCAAAACAATACCAAGTGAATTTAAATTCACCCTATTGCACAAGCAAGTGGCTATCAAGACGCAGTAGCTGAATGGATAACGTGATGACGTTTGAAGCGAATGGTACTGAGTTCGAGTCCTAGAGTGAACATCAACTCTGGGATGCAGTTTGATCTACCATAATAAATATATGAACTAGGTATTTTTAATAACTTAATTCATTGAGTTTGAAACCGAACAAAAGTTTATCATACTCTAACATTTTGAAATTCTAGTTATCACTTCCTATAAAAGTAGTGATCTCTATCAGAAATCATTTAAGATTTATGCTATAATGTAATAGATCATATGACTAATGATAAATTATTCTCTCAATAAACCCTAAAGTTGACAATCTTATCACAGAACGGATGAAAGTAGCTCAATGGTTATTCAATATCTTTAGGGTGGAATGATTATTTATTATGATTCATGATGAAACAATAAAATACTACATGTAATTGATTCGTAGCAATTAACAACTCAGTTTATTTAAATTCGTGATTAAAAAAACAAGATTGTAGCAAATGTATTAAATGTACATGCACATAATTGTGCATGTACAGAGATTCATATAAAAACAGTGCAAAGAGACATTCAACCCAATTGCAGACAACAATGTAAACATATTGTGATACATATATATGCTCTCAAAATAATATCAGATTTTTTTATTGAGATCATGAACCGATTGATGTTAGACCATCATTGAAAACCTGATGAATTTTCACTACTTCATCAATCGATTTGCCATCCTTACCTAGTACCCGTTTCCTAACAACTGTATTAGTAACTCGCTGGTCCTAGGATATACGACTAATGTTTCGAAGATACCTATGATCGATTAGTAGTAACCTACGAATATCCCCTACTCTTACCGGCCATATTTCACTGCCATAATGTAGGACGGAACGAACTGCTGCGCAGTAAACCCGTCCTTTGGTTGATAGACGGATATCTCGCCTGCACCATAAAGGACTCAAATTGGCAAAAATATACAATTCTTATCACTTGTATCTTATTTGATGATTGGACTATTGAAAAATTTAACAAAAAAGAAATATTTACATTTTTATTTCGTATGATAAATGAATAAACATTGATTTATTGTGAATGAATTCTTACACATGATCTAAATGATACCTGTCAATTGTAAAACTAGAATTGAAATAACAATGAATAAAATATTTAGCATATTTAATTTGTTACTTTGATTATTATTATCCAAGACACTTACATTCATTTTACTCAAAATCAATTCATAATTCCATGTAGATGTGAGATGGTGGAGAAGATTTGTAGCTCAGGTGGATGATTTTGATGGAGTTTTGTTCAGTCTGACGTTTGTGCTGATGATGTCGTTCAGAAGAACAATGAAAGCTCCACGATCAAACCATCCAGCTCAGAGAACAAAACTCCATCAAAATCCATGTAGATATTCCCTATTAAGAATTCAACAGGATATCCGTTGTATCAAAATAACACTATGCTTTATGCTAAAATACTGTTTGGTTTAGATAATCACTAACTCATTCTATAGTGTTTGAATTATCCCCATGTTATTATTGATTAAGTTTGGATTTTTTTATAATTTTTGTTGGCATATTTGAAAGTTTACTTTGTAAATTAATATTAATATCATTTTAATAAAACAGATTGTTGATCCTTCACTTAGAGATAGAATAATCCACTGGTCAAAGGGAATGTTTTTGCATCGAGTTCATATGAGAACTGAATTCTAATTTAAATCAAACTTTGTAATCATTAAGTTACATTAACAATGAACATTACAATTTAGAAAAATATCTTCCTTTAGATGAATCAGTTAAACAGTTAGATGGTTTAATAAATTGTCGTCATATTTTTATATGGCAAGATCTAATAGAAGGGTACATCAAGTATTGTTTATAGATAAAACTTTTGAAAATAAACAAAAAAACAGCATTAGCCATTCTAAACAAAGATGGATAGTGGCTAGCATTGGAATATAAGATGACTGTTTTAGCCTATTTTCGAACTCGTTAGCTGGATTTACCTGCATCTCAGAGTTGGATATTCACTCTAGGATTTGAACCTAATACTGACCAATTGCAGTCTTAAACATCAATGGGACGATTTAATTAAACAATGGAAGATGGTCGCGCAATTTCGTGGATTGGTTGATGTTAGACACTATCACCATTGGATGCCGACTCAGTGGTCTAGTCGGTTAAGCGTTCGCGCGCGATACTGAAGGCCCTGGGTTCGACCGCCGCTTGCGGGATCGTGGATGCGCACTTCTGAGGAGTCCCACAATAGAACGAAACGGCCATCCAGCGCTTCCAGGTTTCCAAAGGTGGTCTAACATCAATCGGTTCATGATCTCAGTCAAAAACTTAATAATCTCCACAACCCCTATATTAGTAATAAACAATATCAAGTGAATTTACCATTAGCCATTGATTATTTTTTTGTTTTAATGTACAATGGATTAAAAAGTAATATAAGATTTTCACACTATAGCTGCACTGTCTAATTGTGAAGATGATCAGATAGTTCAAAGGATAATAACATAATATAAAAA